AAAAATTAAAACAAACAACAACAAAAAATTATAATAATAACAAAGAAGTAGACTGAAATACCAACATCGATACATTGCCAAGACTCAAACGCGTATGTTTTTAGACATAAAGTTCATAGACGAGATTGTCGTTCGGTATTGAACAACACATGTCCAAACAAGTTTTTTTGAAACGAGGAAAAAAAGCAATAATTTTAATCTGAAGAAAATATAAAGAAAATGTAGTTAAATTATGAAAGAAACTGCAACTGCACTATTAAAAAATGTTTCTAGTAGTGGTTCTAGTTAATAGTCAGTTTGTTATAACGATGAAATTGATATCTTACCTGAAGTCAGGAGACGTTGAAATATCAAAATCCCTATTAGATGCACAACTTTAGATGCTTTCATGTTGTTGTTGTTGTTTTTTTGTTTTTTTGTTTTTTCCCTTATCATATAAGAAGAATAAGCCGGGTTTTTTTTCAAAATGTACCCTCAAAATAAGGATCTCTTTCTTCCTGGTCGCTCGTTAAAAATGTATATATTTATGCAATACAATACTGAGGTACAAGATGAACAAGCTCCATTGCATGGGAATAAAATGTTCCTTTTTCGTGAGTAAACCGCCTGGTTAACGAACTGTCCATTGTTTGAAAGCCTAGATTTACGTCAAATTGAGCGCTAAGTACCGGAAACAATTACTGGTAACGAAGTCATTGACACCCGGATCGAATTTCAGGTTTAAGGTCTATATTTGATTTTTTTCTCTCTCTCTCTCATCAATCATGCTTGGAACTTCACTGATAGACTCAACACCTGACTCAACATAAAATTAAGACAACACAAATAAGTAAAATGATGTTAAAGTAAAGCACGGAAAACATACAATAGACAATGTTGTGCCTCACACTTCTATTTTTTACGAGCATTGTTTATGATTACTTTCAAAGAAGGTAGATTGTCTTTACCGTAGCCCTGAGGTCTCGGGCTTCAATTTGTTAACATAACAACCAGCGAGTTATGTTTGTTTAGGTCTCTCCTTTGTTTCACACGGCTGAGTTTTTCTCTTGATTCTTCGGTTATCCTTAATTATCCGCACAACTTATCAAAGTAAATTCAAATCTTGTTTGGAAACACCACAGAGTATGTTGAGGGGTAATAAAGACATTTCGAAAGCAATATATCGATTTATTTTTTATTTCATTTTTTTATTCTGCATTAACTTTAGAAAACTTTTTACCATGAGTTTAGTTTTATTTAAAACAAAGAGTACGCTGCATATAGACCCAATATAATAAAGCGGTCATAAGCTAATGAGACTTACATTCGATGCGAAGCATCGTAATCCTTTAGACCGTAAGCGAACGTGTTAATGAGGTAGTTCTATACAATATATATAATGTTTTGAATGTACTGTTTAGCAAATTCCTTTATGATAGCTTGATAATGAATTTGCAGAGTGTCATTTGGGGAGCCAGAATTATTACCGTAATATATAAACAAACACTGAAACAAGTCACAATGAATGATTGTCTGTCTGTCTCTCTTTCTCGCTGTACGGCCTTTCTTTTCTTTCTTTTTTTCTCATCTCAATCATTCTTTTTCTCTATTCTTTTTTCCTTCTTTTTCTTATTAGTAAGTATGTAATATATAAAGAGGAGAAAGCTGCACCAAGTTGGGACGTTCGCATTACAACTCCAAATATTAAAGTAGACAAAAAAGGAACCTTACAAAGATTAAAGTACGTTTCAGCTGTGCAATGTTACCAGAGAATCAATAAGCAAATGTAATCTTCATAAAGATTAAATTTTACGCATTCTTAAACGAGCGGGAAATATATTGTATATTTAAAAGGTATGATAATATGACTATATAAAAAAAATCACACGAACCATATGTAATTGGGGGGAAACGCTTTATTTGACTATAAACAACATCACGAGAAGATACTACACATTATAAATAATTATATTTTTAAAAAAACTATTTTTCTTTTTTCAATATTTCGATCAGTTTTCACTGATAAAATGTTTTGCAAATGACTGAGACTGCATTTTCACAGGATGACTCATTGAAATGGTAAAAAAGGGGATAGTTTTTAAGGAACTACTCATAGTGACAAAAGTTAAAATTACGTGTTTATTTATTCAAACACTACTGTCGTTCATATTGTTCCTAGACGTACACTGAACATGCATGTGATCTAGTATTTTTGAAAAAATTGAACAATTTGAACTAAACGCAAGTAAATTTTCTTTCTTAAAAAGCAAAATGGCAAATTTTAAATGTTAGCATTACACAAAGTAGTTTGTCATAATATATTTGACTAGACCCCTTGCAGCACTTTGAAATGCAACTCAGTCTGGGGGACTAAGCAATTCCAATTTTCAGGAGATTAGCATTGTTTTGTTTTGTCCCCAGATCGAGCCGTCCTTTGACGTCACATGCAAGGGTCTATAAACACACCTCTAACAGCTAATCGTACTTCAAACGGGTGTTTATACGTGGGTTTGGATATATTCATATATTCATTTGGATATATTTGTCTCATTAACCTTTAATGGGAGGATGTATGCCACATTGCCAAAAGAAATACCATTCTGTTTGATAGAGACAGAGTCGGCAGCATGGAATTCTACCATCAACCTATTTTTAAACGGCTTCATCGTAACATATGAAACTCGTTACAACTGTATAAGATAAAATTCGGCATCAAAAAAATGCATGAGCGTGCTCATCAATTAGGATCTCACAGAAAGAGGGCGCGGCCAATTAGTCACCTAGCAAACGCAAGCGACTAATTGACCACCCTTGCTTTTTTAAGATCATGATTGATGTGCGCGCTCATTTTTGATGGCGAAGTTTATCTTATATCTCAGTTGTAACGAGTTTAAATGTAACCCTGAAGTGATGCCCGCGTAGTTCGAAAGCTCGGCAAAATAAAAACATCATTTAAAGGTTAATGAGACAAATCTATCCAAATGAACCTAGGAGTGTATTCTAAAGATATAGAAGTACTATAGATTATCGAATTAGTTTAGACATTGATAACTGATTAATTCAGCTCACATGTTAAGCAAACTCTAATCCTCATTCATGCTGTAATGGTGTTCAGTATCCAATCCCTGAAGTACAGAACGTCAGCATAGACACTTGGGTATCTCATGTCTGTACAGTCTCTATAGCCCCAGCTAGTTATACCCATAAGAAACCATCGTCCATTGCGCGAACAGACAAGAGGACCTCCACTATCTCCGTGGCATGTAGACTTCGGAAACCCATTGTATCCATTGCACCTCATTCGACTTGTTACTGTCGATATCCTTCGAAGAAGATATTTACAACGGTTTCGTTCCATGAGAGGCACCTCTGCTTCTTGCAGTACAATGGAAGACTTGCGATTGGCCATTGTTGTTCTCCCCCAGCCTGTCACGTAACACATGGTGTTGGGTGGGAAGTCAAAACTTGGTAGACAGACGGGAGAAACATGAGCGTTAAACACCATTGGTCTCTTGAGTTGAAGAAGAGCGATGTCATAATCAATAGTGGTGGGATTGTACTGTCTGTGGACTAAAACTTTTTCAACTGGTATTTGCTGTTCTGTTCCATCGATGCGGCTTAAATTGTATTCTCCTATAAAAACAATGTGTTAACGTGTAAGTTTGATATATATTCTGTACATATATTGTTTACTAAAACTAAAATACATAAAGATTTAACATTGGAAAGTAGAGCTGAATTGTTGATTTTCAATATAACTAAAACTAAAAAAAGTCGACCATTTTATTCTGACAGTCTCTTCCTTTTCTTCCTTTTTCTCCTCATTTACTATTTTTCATGTATTTAAATCCATTTGTGTATGAGAATATATATGAAATAAATATTTGTACTGCGGTTGTAATGTATCAAATTGAGTTGATCCTCGCAGTATATGAAGCAACTTATGAGGCTGCAAATATTGAAAGACTCAGAAAAAAAAACATTTGTTATACCATATATACTCTTTTTTTTTTTCTTTCATCCCCTTAGGTCTGTCTGCCTGTTTATCTATTTCCTGAGGCTTTTGAATGCCCCACGACGGACAACTTACCTACTGTTATTGTAAGATTTTTTGGTTTGAAGACAGTGTATGATCCAAAACGTCTTCGAGTCACACAATGTGCTGCTGTTACAATCCACCGTTCATTTACAATCGATGCCCCGCACCAATGAGGAAAGAATATCCCATACAGAAGTCCTCCCATTTGGACTTGCCAAGGCCAACCCCCGTGATGTGATGGGTCGCCGCCAACGATTCTCGTTTGGGGCGAGCTTTTATATGTTCTCCGTCCACAACCTATGTAATACAAAAAAACATACAGAATCAAAAGCTTTTTAAAATGGATTAACTGAAATAAATTAATATCAAAATTGGCTCATAACAATCGATGCAATGAACCGCGAAGATTGGTCGTGGATATAATCATCCCGACATTCTCTTAGGGGTATTTAGAAAGATTGTCGCAAACATCTCCGAAGCTTTAATTCATACGCTAGCGGAGCGGTCCTGGGGGTTATCATTAACTCAGACATTCACATTATAAATGTTGAGGTGCATATGAACGTGCACTACTTACTTGTAAACTTGATTGTTATAGATGCAGTAGGTCCCTCGCCAACAGAGTTTTCAGCTACACAGGAATACGTTCCATTGCTCGATGATGACACGCGCGATACGTTGAACATGTGGCTTGATGATTCGCCGATTTTAACTCCTCTATGGTAAAACCTGAAGTTGAATGCCGGGGGAACAGCATCAGCATTGCACACCAATGACATACTTTCATTGACATGAATATAAACACCTCCAGTTGATAAGGTAAGCTTTGTGTTTCTTGGTTTATCTAAATGAAAATAGATATAAAGTAAAACTAGATATTCATTAACAATTATATATCTAAATGATTGACGATTGTAAATATGGATTCAGCTACTCACGGCTGTTTCAAATGCCCGAATTAGCAATGTATGCTAGATGTCATGCGCGAAGATTGTTGCGAGTTAATATTAAACTATTTACCATATATGGTAAATAGTTTAATATCAAAGCCGATCAAATTTCGTAGAAGAGATTTAAACTTGATTGAATCGAGAAGGAGATCGGGCGCAGCGAGTTCGCATAAACTAGAAGACCTACATTTACTAGAGGGGTTGGAGATTGAAGTTGAAAAATCGTTCTGTGGGCTAACATGGATTTTTTTTCCCATGCTTCTTAGAACTCCCAGTATCGAGGCGGGATTTTATGGGTAAGCCCGTGTAGTGCCAAAATGTGCAATGTTTTTCAAATTTTAATGCCGTGTTTTGCTTCGAGCGAAAGCTTATCTTAGATAACAAGACCTTTAACCCATAGAAAAGGTATTTTTGAAAAGATCTGAACAGATTGTACGAATAGATGTGTCATCAATTTCTCAAACTTGTTGCGCCCGGTATACTGTATATACTTAACGTGATATTATCGCTCATTCACAATCATCTTATGTACTAGTACATGTTTATATTTAAATAAAATTCAAGTTAATGATATGATACTCTTAAGAAATAGAAAAATAATCGTATGATATATAAACTGATTTGTTAGTAGAAGTTAAATTATTATTTTTATTTTTTTTAATGTCATATATATATAATTATTCGCTCTCATAATCGAGAGTTTCGTCGCTGTCACTGTTTCCAATGAGGTCTTCGCTTTCCCAGACAATATTTATAGACCTTATCATTCTTTCATTTTCTGGATCATTTAGACACAAATACCATGCATTTGATATCATCCACGAATAAAGTAAATAATTTCTTCACGATCAGCGATCCCTTCTTGTTTGGAAGAAGTCGCCAATTTCGAAACCACGCTTCTCGTAATATGATATATAGTTTTACGCAAGAATAGTGTCAGCCATACTTTTGGTCAGCGGATTAAAATTCCGATTTGAAACAGCCGTGTACTAGTTATTTCGTATAGGCAAAGGAAATGAGTAATTGGATCAAAATGAAATGATGGATGCATATGATTGAGTGATAAAGTTAGTCGATAGATGGGTGGATTTATCAATGTATATTCGATGGATTGGAAACACTAATAATAAACGTTATCTAACACAGAAATCAGAAACTTGAAGAAAAGTATTTACACTAGAGCTGTGAAATGATATCAACTAATATTAATTTGTATTTAGCCTTCGTTAACCGTCAAAGAAAGTAAGAAGTTCTACAAAATCATTGTATTTGCCAAAATACTTCGTTTCAATTTGATTACCAGAAACAAGACTGAATATTAGTATTCGTCCATGAAATGCAAAATTTTCCAATCACAGAAACATATTTTGATAATGTACAAGAGATCATTCTATAAAAATGGAATTTGTCACTGCGCCAATCAATTAGACAAACATTGCATTTGGCAAGATAATGCTTACAGTGGACAATAACGGTCGCTCTTGCAACATCAGGAAATGCTATTCCATTCCTTGCGTCGCACTCGTACACTCCAGCATCCTTTGGTCGCACATCCTCCAAGACAAGCTTTTCTCCATCTGGAAAATGCACGTCATTTTCACCCACTTTCTTCCATCGTATTATGGCAGGTAGTTGTACATTGTAAAGCGAAGAGCTGGCATTGCAATATAGTGTGACCTTCCTTCCTTCTATGCCGGTTGTATTCTGAGGTGCTGATATAATACTAAGTGCACCTGCAGAATGAAAGCAAGCATTATTTAGCTCTCAAGTGAAGACAAGCACAATATGCAAATCATAATTGTACCTAGACTATGGATGAATCTAATAACAAAACTTTTTACTGGTTGAGGATTTTTTTGCAAATGAATGCTTGCAATATATAATAGATGTAACGATGTATTGGACATGCTACAGTTATTGTCGTTGCAGTTTGGAAAAAAATACGGATGTTGTTCTGATATGCCTTCAAATGTATAGATATCCTGAAACATCGTCTGTGCTTATCGAAATACGCGCTCGGCTAAATTACAATTAATTTATACAGCAAATCTGTATGAAAGAAGTCTGCAGACAATTTCTTTGTTTCAGTAAAATTTTAGATTACTCACCAAAGACGTGCAATTCCATCGTTGCGTTTGCTCCACTACCGACAGTATTTCTTGGAAAACAACTGTAAGTACCCTTGTCTTCGGCCTTCGCTTTCGGTATAACATACAGTCCACTGGAACTAGTTGCTAAGTGTTTGTTACCAAGGAATATATCATAGTGGTCAGCAGGTGGGTTGGCAATGGTGGTACAGATGATGGTTATAGGAGCATTGCCGATGACAACGTTATTATCACGATTTGTCTTGAGCTGTGTGGAATGTGGCTTGTCTATTCAAAAATAATATTTGAAATACGAAGAAATGAAGGAAATATTTTTGTAGTTATTAACAAATAATTATGATTTTGTTTGAAGTGATAAAACTTAAACCGATCACCTGAAATAAATCCAGACAAAAATCGATAAAGGTGAATCAAAAATATTCTTATTGGGACGTTGTGCAATTATAAACAAAATTATGAAAAAGTAAAATAAAAAAAAAGTTATAAAGAATTAAACATTGAATTTAAGTTTTTAAATATTATATACCAAAATACCTTGATTTTAAACATTGCTTGACTTTGAATTTGCAAATTGATTAATTGCATGTACTTAATTAATTTAATTCACTTACGTAATACTTGATAAGATGCTCTTGCTCTTGCTGCACCTCCAACCCCATTTTCCGCTACGCATTCGTATATGCCTGAGTAATTCCATCGTGCAAATAAAGTTAGCACCGCTCCTCCCCCAACAGGAGTTTGTTTGCCAACTTTAAACCATGTAACGTTAGGTTTAGGAATACCAGTTACGTTGCAATACAAGTAATATCGTCTATAAATATCACTGGATACCGTGGCGTCCTTTGGCGGGTTAGTGATACGAGAAATACCTGAAAATATAATCCAGTTGAAATAATGTTTATTTTTTAATATGTTATCGTTGAATCGCGAATTTTTAAAGGCAATATGTAAATATTGATAATATGCATCAGCATTATTACAAAGAACATGCACGGAGTTATCATCACGTTATGAAAGTGATGTATGCTGCAACTACAAGCCAAAACCCTACCCTTTTTTCTTTTGCAATATTGAAAATATAATAAATTTAAATAGATTTTACAGCAATTTTCATTTTAAAATATGAAATTTCAACTCCTCCAATTGATGGATTGCAAGCATTCCCAAGAGATCCAAAAGAAAAAATTATGGCGACCATTGTGGTACCGTTAGAAATGGATGCTAATATTATTTATGAGAAATATTTTGTTAAATGGTACTAGCATGGCTGCGATGACGTAACATGCAATCAAAGAATTGCACTTTTCAGTGTATCGGGGCTCATGGTACAAAGCAATAGCGCTTGCAGCCAATACATTGAAGATGAAATGAGATGAGTTTTGCTGTACTATATACTCACGGTATATCAAGTAAACAGTTGCATTTTCTTTAGCTTGCTTTCTTCTATTATCTGCAGTACAGGTGTAAGTCCCTTCATCGTCCAATGAGCTATTCGATATGGATAGTGTGTTTCCAAACCCCACTGGTCTTTTACTATGATTGCCAGAGTGGAACCAGTAGATTTTAGGAAGTGGGTTGCCTGTTGCGTTGCAGAAGATCTCAAAAGAACCCGTCTCACTCAGGTTTTGTGTTTTCGGGAAGATGACTTGTATTGTAGGATTTTCTATTTAAAAAATGACGTAACGTGGGAGAACGTTAATAGTTTTACCTTTTTTTCCATTATGACCCGAATTACTCTTGACTAATATACTTTCTGATAGTGCATAAACAGTGCACTTGTGCTTCAAGTCTTGGATGTTAGGTTAAACTCGTTTTGCCTGATTCACTAGTGCAAAAAAAAAAAAAAAAAAAAAAAAACAAACGTTTGCAAATGTAGTGAATCTTGGTTCAAAACGGATTTCGACGAGAGTTCCAGTTTCGGGAGTTATCTATTACTCATGGTTAGCCTCAATGTTGCGTAGAATATCCATAAGTTCAAGTGAAGGTCCGTAGAATTTCAAAGTGTTCGTATCGTTGAATAAAAGTTGCGTATCCTTAATTTAGCCGTTAAGTTGGTATTTGTTAATATTCTGACGCTAACATGAGGTAAATCTGCTCTAAATTAGTTTGCAATTAAGTAGCACAGTTCGAAGTAAAAATCGTGTATTCACGATTTGGCTCAATACGACTTCATTCCAATGATCGTGTTTAAAAAATAATATTAGACTATCATAGCTTAAAAATCTAGAAAGAACGAATTGTTTGCCGAAAATAAAAATGAGATGATTATAAATACCATAAAGTGTTAATGTTTCTGTTCCATTTCCACTACCAATACTGTTGGTACAACTACAAGTATATGCTCCAAAATCAGATAAGGTGACATCTGGTATAATGAAGCCAGAGTTGCCTAATCTGTTCCCGTAGCGATACACATCACATGTTGCGGGGGGATAGGCGTCGGTTGTACACTTGATTAAAACAGCTTCTCCGATCATTGCTGCTCCTTGCGAAACATTGAAGTAGGCAATTGTGTTCATTGGGCTCTCTACGAAGAGATAAACAAATAAAACAATAAAATATACGCACAGCAATTTAATAGTTAAAGAATAAAAACGTTAAACAATACTTGTCTAAACAGCAAAACGGTGAGTTGCATAAAGGTAAAATAAAGAAAAAAATTGAAGAGAAAATAAGAAAGAGAGAAAAGGAAAAGGAAACCGAGAGATGGGGAGAGAAGAAAGAAGAAAAAAAGGGAGGAAACGATACACATAAGAAAATTATATTAAAATAATAATTAGCAGATTAGTAAAATACAATATAAGTAAAATAGGTAAATGAGTAAAATAAGACGAATAAAGGAACCAAGAAACAAATGCCCCAAGCAAGTAATCGAACATAAAATGAGTCTGAATACCATATCCCGGCTGGCAGAGGTCTTTCTTCTTCTTTGTTTTCGGGGAGGGGGAGAAAAAAGAATCATCTGCCCCGATCCGTTAAATGATTTGATGTAACTGCCATCCATGTTTGTGGACGAAAAACGAAAAAACCCCTTTTCTACTGGAACACTCCTACGCTTGACAGCCGTAAAGCCAAATATAAGATTTTTAAGCACACAGCACTAGTGAGCATGTAATTTTACGATAACTGCTTATTGAAGCCCACTATTTTCAATGTCATCATTAGCCTAGCAACGCTTACACATGCGCAACAGAAAATGAGACGGTTGGGGCAGAGGCGAGTTTTAAGCAAAGAGATCCAGCAAAATAAAAATAAAAATAGATTCTGTCGGCAGAAAAGAATACCATCCACTTACGGATAACATAGACCCTGGTTGTATTCGACTCAGATCCAAACATGTTTGATGCCACGCACTTATAGGTGCCAGCGTGAAAGAACAGAGCCCTAAATATACGATATCGAGCATAGGAAATTCCCGTTGCCAGTGTCATATTGTGTCGCATCCACTTCACATTAGGGGATGGATTACCAGTTGCATAGCAGTACAAATATATATAACCTCCTCTTCTTACGTAAACTGTAGAACTTATTGAATGGATTTTACTTGGTACTGAAAGAGATCAATGGAGTAATATGTCAAATAAAAATATAACCTCCTCTTCTTACGTAGACTGTAGAACTGATTTAATGGATTTTACTTGGTACTGAAAGAGATCATTAGAGTAATACGTCAAATAATTATATTAATCACACACCAAAAATTTATCTTATACAATTTGTAAAGCTTGTGTGGACCATAACTAACATACTTTGAAAACTAATTGTGAAATGAACTCCAATGTTTGTTTTGTTTTAAAGACCTAGCGAACATTTACAAACCATGTAAAATCACACTGTTTATATGAAAATTGATTCACTTCATATTTACTTAATGAATCTCACTAACTTTGAAAACTGCGTAAATTTGATTTTTTAATAGTTGGTTTTGACTTTGACCTGTGGCGCCGTAGATCAGTGGTTCAAAAAATGGAATTCGGAAATGCTACCTTTAAACTAAGAATATAAACAAATGGTTGGGCAATTGGCTCCTCTGATTACATAAGATGTTGTCTCGTCTCGCTTAAAAATGAATTACATACGGTGCAAGAAGTTTATCAGTTGCAAATGTCAAGTGCATATCATCGTCTTTTAAAATGACAAATTTCTATAAAACTTTAATATATAGATGTAGGAGTTTACACAACAGCTTTTTTTGAGTTTATAGAAAGACTTTCTATGTCTTTTTTTTTTCTCGAAACATGCTATTTGTAAAAGATATTTGGCGAAATATTCACGGTGTTCTTTTTCTTACCTGGTCTCTGGCAAACAACACCTGCATCTTCACTGTGACCACAGTTATTTACTCCCCAACCTCTATGACCGCACTGTGTAATGGAAGATTCATTCCCAACGCAGTTAACATCATCAAGCCATATTCTGCCAATTCCACTACCGAAATATGCACTTGAAACAGCTCTAGCGGCCGTGAAATTCCCCAGCATGCGACAAACAACACGAGCGTCATTGATGTCCCATCCATCATCACAGATCGTCCCCCACTGGTTATTGTAGTATATCTCGACTCTCCCCATGAGAGACGTGCTTCCAAATCCAGCTAGTCGAATAGCTGCTGTATTATTCCCAACTATAGTAAGAAAAGTACGCAGACCTTTAATTTTCAATTGTCTCTGTTATACGTTATAGTACTTTTAATAACAACACACAGATTAAGTGATTTGAAATATGTACCCAATAGTTTTGTTTTCCACAAGTTATTCAAGTATCTTTCTAGTATATGTTTAAAAAAAAATTTTTTTCCCACAAAAATCAACTACACATGCTATTTCTAAAAGATATTTGGCAAAACTTTCACGGAATATGTTCGAAAAAATGTTCGCTTATCGGCTAATTCGTTCGAGCTGAGAGAAGTGGAATCACGTGGGATCATTCGACAATCAAAAAGTAACATGAGAACAATTCTATCTATCGGCCACACCGATGAGTGCAGATGAGTGCTTTCTCCGGCATACGAATACACACATATAATTATCTCAATTCTTCTATCGTAATATTAGTAGACATTTTTAGAGTGAAGCGTGTGGTCCGTTAAGGTGTTTCACTTTGGCTACGTCGAGAAACTAATAGAACTATATAAAGGGAAGCTTTCCGGTATATACTTTATCGTTGTTTATTGCTGAGTAAAAACAAGTCGCGAAGAGCTCGTTCATTAGATATTTAAATTTAAATACTCAGTAGCACATTACCTGAAGGAGGAATAGCTGACGTCATCGGGATGGATGTTGATGTCGAACCTGATGCAAACAATGCAGAACAAAAAGTCATACCTCTAGTAGCAATTCAATATGTCAAGATAGTGCGTTAAACGGCTCTTTCTTGGTGTTGCAGGGTACCTGAGCCATGAAGACAATACAACAATAGCCGAGAACAATAAGTTTGGAGCTAGCAATACCCTGCAAACCCTAACCCAGAATAAAATACATCCCGCAACATCAAGAAAGACCCCGTTAGACTAATTATACAATGCTTACCATTTCAATATCTTATGCGGAAATACTTGTATTTTTAAGAATATACATATGCCTTCATACCTTTGTGTTTATTAAAGTGCATATCAATGATTTTTTTTTTCTTTCAAAATCACTTATATGTGAATAGTGTAGTAGTATGGTTGCAGTATTTTTGTATGTCAAATTTTCTTTTAGGAGATATAAACATTTGAAATATCAATATACAAATGAGATGACCTAAATTCAAGACTAATTTATAATACAAAAATGCTGTGGTGGAAAGTACTGCTGTTTTTTCATTTGCAAATTATCCTTATAACTGAAATATATGGCTTTGTACACTTTTAGGTTATTTCATTTCAGAACGCTTGTCGTAAATTACACTGAAAAATGCAACCCTTTCTTGAATTTACATCATCTCATTTACATATTGATATTTCAAATGCTTATATCTCTGAAAAGAGAGGTCCACATACAAAAATACTGGAACCATACTACTACACCGGTAACATATAAGTGATTTTGAAAATATTTGTTTCCCCTTGATATACACTTTAAGAAAATACAAGAGGCAAGTGGGATATACTATGGTCATAAAGAAGCTTTTTATAACAATTGTTTCCAATACAATTAACATACTCCTAGGCCTCAAGCCTGATGGAAAGGAACTATAACATATCATCGGACATAAAATGCCTTTCATTTATTCTGATTGGATGCACTTCAATGTTGTGGGGGGAGGGGGGGGCGAGGGAAACTTCTTAATATCGTGTGGTCAAATAGCGCTCTTTCCGTTTGTTGCTTTGATCACTAAAAACGAGATCAGAATAACAAGCGGAAAGAAAGAGCACGCGCTATTTGACACAGATAGTAGGATGGGCAAGAAGAAAATTAAACGGCGTCGAGTTTTTGAAATTAGTGAAATTGGGAATTTACATAGGGCGCGCTACATTAAGAAGTTTCCCTCTCTTGTTTATGCTCTCTTGGAGTCATAACTGATTTGTAGACGTCATGTCTTATTTCGGGCACTGAGAATAATTTTGATATGCTTACACACAACGCCTGCATCTTCACTGTGACGGCAGTCATGTGTACCCCACGATGAATGTATACAGGACGAGATGGAGGACTCATATCCATTACAGTTTACCTCATCAAGCCATATTTTTCCACTGCCGCTACCGAAGTAAGCAGAACCGACTGCGCTGTACGCATCTCTATAACCAAGCATCCGACAAACAACGCGTGCGTCACGGATGTCCCATCCATCATCGCAGATCGTTCCCCACTGGCTATTATAATATACCTCTACTCTACCCCTTGAAGACAAGCTGCCATTAACCAATCTCACGTAAATATAACCTAAAAGGTATTGTACATGAACTAAGTTAGATATATATAATTAAAAACTTATCGTACTCACGAAGTAATTGTGTTTACACTGCTTAAGTTATGGATCGGAGAAGAAATATGATTCGTCTGTGCTAATTTAAATAATACATGAAGATTATATTTTTCGGTTAATAATATAAACGATATATTGTACGGTATATCAGCGAGCAATTTGCAAAAAAAAAAAAAAAAAAAAGACTATTGTGAGATGGGGGATATTATCAGCAGTCATTGAAATGCAAGCCATCCATTCATAAGTTCGTAGTTTATAAATAACTTTCCCGAAATTTTCTCATATTCTTTAATTTGTTTGCACATGACAGCATTGCCACCATCTTGAATGAATTGAACAAAAGACGTGTCAATTAATACTTTTGTTACATCATCAAATATTTTCACCTTGTCTTTTGTTATTTCACTTATCTGAGAATTGATGGTTGAAAACGTCATTATATTGTTTCTTATTCCTTATTCAAATTAAATGTTCTAAATTTGAAAAAACATATGTGACCAAATTTCGATTGCCCAACGTGTTTTTTTGGTGCATTCGCAAAATTAAGGTAAGCTAAGTTTGTTGGGAATTATATTTTTGTATACAATACACTAGGCACAAGCTTCATTAATGAAGTGTGCTGAGCGTTGTTTCCTAGAAGTGCTTTCAGATGTTTCCATGACGTACTTAGAATTAATGAGGGGGAAAACGAGCACTGTTTGTGTTTGTTATGGGTAAATTATACCGAGTTTTGGTAGGAAAAGAGCCCTGAAGGTGTTTTCACTTGATGCACTCACTTGATGTGGTATAACCAGTTAAAGGAGGACTCCATGTAGAAAACGCGCCTGGAAAACAATAACAATAATAACCAATTCATAAACAATATATATATATATATATATATACATGAATACTTATTCCAATGCTAATTGCTTCAGGTAATATACAATTCAAGTCTTACACATGACTCCTGCATCTTCACTGTGGTCACAGTTATTTACTCCCCAACCTTGGTGTCTACAATGGGAAATGGTTGGTTCAGTTCCACTACATGAAACATCGTCCAGCCATATCATGCCTCTCCCTCTACCAAAATAAGCTGACCCTAATGCTCGATAAACCGTTGAATAACCAAGCATACGACAAATAACGCGTGCGTCATCCATGCCCCAACTGTCATCACAGATTGTTCCCCATGCTCCATTGTGTAGTATCTCAACTCTTCCCATAGAAGGTGAATTTCCATTAACTAATCGCACTGGATTGTAACCTGAAAGTGAATGAACAAGGTTTCAAACAATATTTGGTTGGAAGCGTATTTAGAACATTGAATGTAAATAAGGAATAAGAAAAAATCCATAATAATCCGTAATAACCCGTAAAGGACACACACAAACACACACACACACACACACATACCACACACACACACACAAACAAAACACATGCTTATCGCATCATCATTCATTGTCCATTCCCGGCACATACCTGGAGAAGGGTTTGCAGTATACGGATAACGTGTGGTGTAAGGCCGCCAGGTAGGCCAGTTAGTGTATGGCCGCCTTGTGGTATAATAGGGTGAAGATGTTGACACTGGTAGAAAGAAAAATATACATACGTACATTTCAATATTTAAAAAATGTATCTAAGGGCGACAATAGAGAAAAGCGTTTGCGCATGCGTGCATTTCGACACGTTTTCTAAGAATTTAGAGGAGTTGGAGTGAGAAAATAAATGCTTGTTTTCTCCGAGTATACCCAAACGTTCGCGTGTATATTTTTGTAAGGACAATATACTGCATTTACAAACACGTTTCAAGCATGGGCAGTGGAAAGTCAAATTGAAATATTTTTACAATAGCATCAAGATGTTTTGACTAATTTTCGTACGGATTTAGAGCATGGACAGACGTTTTTCACTCGTGTCTCGAAGAGCTAATTAAAATTTTAGCATAATGTGAATGATTGAAAATTAAATTGAAGCAACGCACAGATTAAAAAACTGTTTGTTTATACAAATAACTAGCATGGTGCAAAGGTAATCTAGAAATGATTGAGAGATATTGCCAAAGATGCTGTTTTATAAAACTACCCGATCTCCATATAATACATTTTTTGGTTCATACATTAGAATGGCTTATTTTTGTCAACTGCCGATTGCCTCTCTGGTGCATATAAGATGCGCAGCTTGGTAAATATAGTTAATATTTATTATGAACATCGTTTTGACTTTTTAATTCGCAATGTTTGTCAAAAGTTTATCAAAACAAAACTTCCAAAAGGAAATCAAAACCGTTTTATTAAACGATCTTAATATTAATCGCTATGATACTGAGATCTTCAAACTTTTTAAGTAAGTCTATCTGTAATGAGCTATTTTTCATTTTCTACTCAGTGAACTACTTTTCATTTCCTATTCAGCTCTTTGTACTCTGA